AAGATGCATTCGCTCATACATTTACTCAGTCAGGGTTGTCCCATAAAATCTCAATTTTAGTCCACATTAGAAGTGCATCTTTTTGTGTCTGATGCAATAAGAGTCTTTATCAAGTCAATACTGAGTGCTTGCGATAGAATAGATCCGGTAGAGGTAGAACAAGTCTTGCTACGCAAGTAGGCGATCTCCAGAGCCCACCTCTTCGTGCACCACCCTCTGGATCAACTCCTCCCACCGAGGACGTCTTATATTCCTTCTACAATTCCGGGCACGCCCTAGACCCCTGCGAGGCCCTTAGACGCCTCCCGTATCCAGAACGGATTCGGTTCTAGAAATTAAAGCGCCTCTGTTTTGGTTGTTTGTCCTCCAATCATATGTTGAAGGAATGCCCGGAAAAGAAAACATGTACGGTTGCCAACTGCACGAAGAAACATCCAACAATTCTTCATAAGAACATTGCGCCAAGGATTCGACTAACTGGCATTCCTTCCGCTAGTACCTCGCTGCAGGAGGAGTCCCCTCGCGTTCGTAACGGAATGGTTAATCTAGACCGCTCAAGAATAGGCATGGCTGCGGTTCCAGTCAAAGTTTGGTTCAAATCCATAGGTCCTCCTGTGATTACCTACGCATTTTTGGACAGCGGTAGCTCCTCCTCATTTTTCACGGAGTCCTTGATGAGACAGCTGGGGGTAAATGGTACCCGAAATCAGATTTCCCTAACAACTTTGGAAGAGAAAGACAGTCATTGACAGCTTCGTTGTGAAAGGTCTTGTCAAATCGGATTTGGACGAAAATGTGTCTATCAAGTTGCCAGCACTTTATACGAGACCAGAAATACCCGTTTCAAAGGACGACATACCCACTCAGGGTGACATTGACCGGTGGCCACACTTGTGCGGAGTATGTCTACCTGAAGTTGATGCCGAAATAGGCCTCCTCGTAGCCTGTGATGTCCCTGCGGTATTTGATCCTTTGGAAGTGAAGCACAGTAAAAACGGCGGTCCCTGTGCTTCCCGAACAAGTATGGGATGGGTGGTTAACGGTCCTTTAGGGCGGTTTCGCAAGGGTTCACGCACTCCCAGTTTCCTTATCAAGGCTCACCCTGAATTTCATCAGATGGTGAATAATTTCTACGACAGTGGTTTAAGTGAATCCAGCGCTGATGACAAACCTGAAATGTCATCAGAAGAGCTTCGTTTCCTCAGCGAGTTGGAGCGTACCATAGTCTTGAGAGATAGTCACTATGAAATGGCGCTACCTTTGAAAGTTCGCGAAGCACCAGCGCCGAACAACAAACCGCAGGTCGAACAACGCGCTCACTGGCTAAGGAGGAAACTTCAGCGTAACAAGGACTTGTACGACGACTACAAGTGTTTCATGGCGGACATCGAATCGATGTTTTACCAAGTCAGGGTATCTGAGGCGGACTGCTCCTATCTTCGCTTCCTCTGGTGGCCCGATGGCAACTTGGAGAGTAGCCTCGAGGAGTACCAAATGGTTGTACACCTGTTCGGTGCAGCCTCGTCTCCATCATGTTCGAACTTTGCCTTGCGCAAGACAGCTGAAGACAACAGCCAATATTTCCCAGAGGCAGTTCTGAGCACGGTCAAAAACAACTTTTACGTAGATGATTGTCTCAAGGCCCTACCTTCAGTCGAAGAGGCTTCACAGCACGCGAGGGACCTANTAAAAGGCTAAGGACCCAAATCTTCATTCGAAACTCATACTTACCATAAAAATAAATAACAACAACAACAGTAAAAAAAAAAAAAGCAGCCAACAGCATGATTAAAACAATGCAAAACTTTCAGGTTACATTTAAGTTGAAATATTCTTTGCTGTTAAATAATAGATTGTTTCTAGGACACTACAATAATGCCAGCTTACGGTTGACATTTATTGTCACATTGGAGCGGGCCACATTTCCTAGTCTGTTACGAGCTTCACAGGAATATACACCACTGTCCTCCTCCACAACCTTTGCAATATGCAGGTAACCTTTTTTCTCATCCGATTGCATAAAGATGTTGGCTCTCTTCTTTATTTGGTCTCCATCTTTTTTCCAAGTGATATTTACTGTTGCTTTGTTGACAATGCAAATTAACCTAAGCTTATCACCTGAAGTGAGGGTTGGATATGGTTTTGGGCTCAATTCCGCAGTTGGTTTTCCTGTTTTGAAAAAGAGATAATGTACATGTATACAAATCTCAATTTTTTTTATGAAAAAAAATTACTCTCAATACCTTAGTACGGCAAAAATTATCATGGACACGAAGCAGTCCAAAAGCAAACCCCAAACGGAATTTCCAAGATGCTTCTTAGTAACCCCAGACCCAGCCCTTTGTTGCTATTAATATTCTCATGACATATAATGTGCCATTCAATGTTACAAATCTTTGTAGTGATAAAAATCTGTTGGATTAAAATGATCAGAGTGACCATGACAAACTGTCAAAGTGATCATATAAAAAAGTTATCTCAAACAATAATTGGTTAATGGCGCCTGCACAACAACTATGCTTCTCACAACTCATTATAGTATTTTTTCCAGATACCTTACACCCAAGTTAGTACTTCAACTCTTTGACTAAATTTTCTTGGAGAATTTCCAGGGGTATTAAGACTCCAGGGGTATCTCCATCTCAAAACAATTGTTATAAGAACCAGTCTCAACACACTGTCAGTTATTTTTGGTCAACCTTCAGACTAGCCAACATTTACACCTCATATTTTACCCATTAGCAGAGGAGATAACATCAAAGAAGAAAGAATTGTATAATTGTTAAAGAGGATCCATCATCATAATTACCCTAATGCTATTAAGTTTCAATTACTACTATTACCATTATTACACTCATCATCATCATCACTATCACTATCCTCATTATCATTATCATTATTATAATTATTATTCAACCTACCAAAAACTTGAAGTGTTGCAGAAGAACTTGTTGTATTTGCTTTGTTTTCTGCTGTGCACTTGTATGTTCCTTCCATTTCCTTTGTTGTTCGTGGCGTTTCCAGGAATGATTCCACGAATAAGTCTCGATCAAAATTTTTTTTAATAATACCTGATTGGAGTTTACAGCTATTAAATGTCCATGTTACTTTTGGTGTTGGAACACCTGAAGCACTGCAAGTAAAGTTGACCGGGTCTCCATCAGTAACAAATTGGTTTACCGGAGACAATAAAATCCAAGGAGACACTGAAAATAAAAAGAACAGCATGATCTTCAACCAAGGTTCTTAAGATAAAACCAAACAACCACAAGTAATTTGGCAGTAATTTAGATGTAAGAGTAAATTTGGAGTCCCCTAACTACACATATTTCCAGAATTAAAAGAATCATCTCCACACAGTGAATGGGAATAGGTAGAGAGGATATTATATTTTGAATGAGTGAGCTTCCCTCAACCCTCAATGATAGTAATAACATCAAAAGAGTAGTCTAATATATTATCTACTATGATATTATTAACATGAAAAGAGTAATCTAGTATAATTATTATTTACATAATACTGTAAATATCATGAAGCATGCAAATCAAAGTCAAAGTTAAAAACAAATGAATAAACTTGGTTTGTAAAAATCCTATTTAAATATCTAGCATGAACAAAAGCATGTTAAAAAATTACATGTACCGACTAGTCAGACCACAGCACCGGGGGCTACGTTCCCTACATGCACTCTTTGTGAGAAGTTCCTGAGTTCTTTAACGTTCCCTTGCTAACCAGTACAGAGAAGATGAGGGAGACAGGGCCTACAGTCTATTGGCCTTATCCCTGAATACTAGAATGTCTAACCATTCGCAAATATCATAGCACACTAAGCACATTCTCCTAAGTTATTTAAAGATCCTCAGTGGTGGTCTGGTCTAATGTTGAACCCTCGACGTGACGCATGGCAGTTCAGGGCTCTATATCATGAGCTTACAGAGTGCAGTTTGTAAATATTAATAAAATTATTTTGATTTACCAGTAACATCAATCCAGAAGGATGAGTTAGCTTTTCCAGCCAGATTTTCGGAGACACATTCATAGAAACCTTCATCATCAAAAGTCACGTGGTTAATAAATAACGTGTTGTTGTTGCCAAGAGCTTCTCCATTTTTGGTCCAGTTGACAGATACTGGAGGACTGCCCTTTACAAAACAAGGTGTTGTAAATGTGGAGTTCAATGTAACTGAACGATTCTTGAGTCCAGAATTTAACTGTGGTGGAACTAGAAAGTAAAATTTTAACAGGTACATTGGTATCTCGAGCTTGGATGTAAACACTGCAAACAAATAACAAGTCNGACCTCCCGCACAACAGTCCAGCGCTCTATCCATTGAGCTAACAGGGAGGCTGTATTTCAAATTAAAATGATGTTCTCATCTTCAAATGTTTTACCAGTTTGTTGTTCTTTTGTAACAGGATCCTTAAGTTTGGCAAAAATATGCCCTAAAGTCTGAAAAAGTTTTTGAACAACTTTAACCTTATGGTTATTCAAACTTCTCTTGATGGGCTCTGTAACACCTGGATGTGAGGAATAACAGCAAAACCAGTCGTTGGTTCCTTCTCATCTTGAGTGTTACTAGTTGCGACTGGTTTCAGGCAGTTACAGAGAAATGTTTTGGTATGGCCATTTGTATTTGAGTATATCGGACAGACCAGTCTGTTATCTTTATTGTACGATTTTAGGCCGTTAACTAATGGCTTAATTTCGTTCAGTCTGTTATGTTTATTGTACGACTTTAGGCCGTTAACTAACGGCTTAATTTCATACAGTATGGTATCTTTATTGGGAGATTTTAGGCCGTTAACTAACGGCTTAATCTCATACAGTCTGTTATATTTATTGTACGATTTTAGGCTGTTAACTAACGGCTTAATTTCGTTCAGTCTGTTATGTTTATTGTACGATTTTAGGCTGTTAACTAATGGCTTAATTTCGTTCAGTATGTTATGTTTATTGTACAATTTTAGGCTGTTACCTAACGGCTTAATTTCCTACAGTCTGTTATCTTTATTGGGAGATATTAGGCCGTTAACTAACGGCTTAGTTTCATACAGTCTGTTATATTTATTGTAAGATTTTAGGCCGGTAACTAACAGCTTAATTTCAGTCAGTCTGTTATATTTATTGTACGATTTTAGGCCGTTAACTGATGGTTTAATTTCGTTCAGTCTGTTATGTTTATTGTACGATTTTAGGCCGTTAACTAACGGCTTAATTTCCTACAGTCTGTTATCTTTATTGGGATATTTTAGGCTGTTAACTAACGGCTTAATTTCATACAGTCTGTTATATTTATTGTAAGATTTTAGGCCGGTAACTAACGGCTTAATTTCAGTCAGTCTGTTATGTTTATTGTACGATTTTAGGCCGTTAATTAACGGCTTAATTCCATTCAGTCTGTTATGTTTATTGTACGATTTTAGGCCGTTAACTAACAGCTTAATTTCGTTCAATAGGTAGTTTATATAATGGTAGATTTTAAGCCGTTAACTAACGGCTTAAAATCGTACAATACGAATATAGATATTTAATATTTTTTATTATATATATTAAAAAAAGTATATTATTTATTACTTAATTTACGAAATTATCATACCGACCGGGATAGTGGCTCAAAATCTCACAATAAACAGACCGTGATTACAATTACAATTTATCACTTATAGAGCGCTATTTACAATGACAGATCAACAGCGCTTTACAATCAATCCTAACCCGCCCATCCCACCCCAGGGGAAGACATCCATCACACAGTAATCTCGTGCGTGGGAAATTAACGTCTCCTACCCCTAACCCT